GTCGAGAATCAACGTCTCGTCCAGGTACTTGAACTCCTTGCTGGGCCATCGCTGCTTGAGGACCTCGACCTCGGGCATGGCGTAGACGGCCTTGAAGACGTTCTTGAGGAACTCGTCCAGGAGCTCAATGACCTCGTGGTAGTCGTGCTCAATCGCCATTTCGAGATCCAAGCCAGTGTACTCGGTAAGGTGGCGATGAGTGTTTGAGTTTTCGGCGCGGAAGACGGGACCAATCTCGTAGACGCGACCAAAGTCGGAGGAGACGGCCATTTGCTTGGCGAGCTGAGGGCTCTGGGCTAAGAAGGCCTTGCGGCCAAAGTAGTTGACCTTGAAGACGGAGGCACCGCTCTCGGTGGCGGCAGGCTGAAGCTTGGGGGTGTTGATCTCAACGAAGCCGTACTTCTCCAGAGTGTCCCGGAACTGGCGGGAGACCATGGATCGGATGCGGAAGAGGGCCTGGTTGGCCGGGTGTCGCAGATCGAGGATGCGCGACTGCATGCGGCTGCGCAGCGCCTCGGGGGGTCTGTAGACGCTGAACGGGGCGTTCTGGGCCGGGTTGACGAGCCAGAGGCCGTGGATGTCAACCTCGGCGTGGGAGACAGTGGCCGATCGGACGGGCTCCGGAGGCTCCTTGAGCACGCCGTTGACTTGGAGCAGCGACTCGGCAGGGAGCTTCTGCACCCACTGGACCATGTCCATGTTCTCTCTCGAAAGGACGCCCTGGACGGAGAAGGTCTGGTCGCGGAGGAGGAGGAAGTCGAGGGCCTTGGAGAGCTGGCGCTGGGTGTGTATGCGGCCGCGGAAGGTGACCTCGGTGCCGATGGGCAGCTTGTCCAGCTCGGCAATGGTGTTGAGCTCATAGGGATGCGTGGGCCAGTCGGAGCCGCTGCTGCGGACGCTGTCGAACGAGGCGCCCGAGTTGTCCATGCTGGACCGCGGTGAGCCCTGGGCCGACCGGCGGCCGCCGCCCTCGTTCATGGTGGCCAGGATCTGGCGAGTGGCCTCGCTGTGGACGGCCGGGGCGATGGGCGAGCTGGGGATGGACAGCGACGACGCCTGAGGCGAGGCCGGCGTGGGCGTTGCGTTCATTGTGTACTGGTGGTAGCTGCTGCGGTTGCTCCCCGTGCCGGTGTTGTAGTTCTTGGGGAGCTGGTCGCGAGGCGTGGAACGGTCAGGGCTTCCTCGTCTGCTGCTTCTGGTGCTGTTGGAGCGCAGGGGCAGACCAAAGGCCGAGAGGATGGGGGAGTTCCTCCCGCTGTCCGTGGCCGGCATGATGACGATATATATCTCGGTGACAGGCGAGTCTCAAAGGCCCTGTCGATGGGGTGAATGAGCTATCCGTATGTAGACACGGAAGCAAGGCACGCAATGCAAAGTAACAGCACCTGGGGTATCGCCGCTTCAGTCGGAAGCGATGAGGGTGATTGGCTGAAGAGGGCAAGTTGCACGATGAAGGAGGGAAAAGGTGTGGCAACAGGTGGGCAGACGGGATTCCGCTATGCCTCAGTCGAGTCGAGCGTC